AAAAAAAAAAAAAAAAAAACAAACCAAGTCAGATCACGTCATTCCTCCTAAACCTTCCAGTGGTTCCCATCTCACTAGGAGTGGAAGGCAGAGCCCTTTCTGTGCTTAGGAGGCCCTACATGATCCAGGCCTCCGCTGCCTCTGATTTCATCTCCTGCTACTCTAGACCATTCTCTCTGCCTACCCACATGGGCCTCATCACTGTCCCTCCTAGATGCCAGGTACACTAACAGCTTAGGGCTTTTTTTTTTTTTTTTTTTTCTTGCGTTATGCGGGCCTCTCACTGTTGTGGCCTCTCCCATTTGCGGAGCACAGGCTCCGGACGCGCAGGCTCAGCGGCCATGGCTCACGGGCCCAGCCGCTCCGCGGCATGTGGGATCTTCCCGAAACGGGGCACGAACCCGCGTCTCCTGCATCGGCAGGCGGACTCTCAAGCACTGCGCCACCAGGGAAGCCCCAGCTTAGGGCTTTTGAGCCATCCTTCTGTTTGAGACATTCTTAGTCCAGATAGCCACATGGCTTGTTCCCTTGCTCTGCTTAAATCTCACTCCATTCCAGAGGCCTTCCTTGGTCATCCTATCTGGGAGTACAGTGCAAGAAAGTTCAAGTGTGAAGAACAGCACGTGCAGAGTACTTGAGAAGGGAGGAAGTCTGTTTCATTTTCTTTCCCAAGGAATTAAAAGAAGGCCAGTGTACCAGAGCACAGATGGTGGGGGAGGCCTGTCACAAGGTGAGGTTTGAGAGGAAGCAGGAGCCAAGTCACACAGGACTTTCTACACCGTGTTAAAGACTTGGCTCTTTAGAAAAGAACACAGGATGCTGTGGGGGTCATGGAAAGCTTCTCCGAGGAAAAATGGTAGTGTTAAAACGTGAAGGTCAGAGCCCTGCAGGTGGGAGACATTGTGTCAGGAAAGGAACAGAGGCAAAACATAGCGTAGGATGTAGAAGCAGGTAATGTTGGTGGCAGAAATCAGAAACATACCAATCTTGCCCTCAAGGCACTGAGATGGACAAGAATAACTAATACAGAGCAGAATATGTGAATAGTCATGTGCGAGGTACACACATCCTACATTAAAATCAGACTTTCCATCTGCTGTTCTTCACACACGGAACACATTTTCTGTCTTCTGGGTCTTGCTCATCCCATACCCTTTGCCTGAGATGCCATCCCCACTGCTTCTGGCCATCCTTCTCATACGGCAGCTTCTCCAAGTAGCCTTTCCTAATCCCATCAACTAGATGAGTTATCATCTCTTGAACCTCTTTGGACTTGGTACCTCTAAAGTGACACTCTCTGTTCCTCCTTCTGGCATGTCCTTTCCCCTGGTAAACTACTGTTTTTAAAATATGAAACTTAAATATATCTTCCTTGGACTGATTGCCTTAGGCAAAGTTATAACCATCTTTTTAAATGTCAGTGCCCTGTCCAGTTGGTAAATGATAGCGATAACAGTATTTATTATCTCATATCATCCTCAAAATCTCTCTGCGAGATAAGTATTTTCTACTTTTTATAGTTGAAGAAACAGAGACTCAGAGATATGGAGTGATTTGCCCAAGGTCATGGAGTGCTAGAGTCTTATCTTAAACAGAGGACCCTCTCATTCCAGAGCCTCATGCTGCCAAAACATGGGAGACTGAAGCTTGAGTAGTTGTTACGGATCAGCCACCTTATTAATTTCAGTCACTTTAATTCTCTCCATAAAACTATTTGCGTAGCTGAAAGGCAGTAAGATTGGGCTCGATTATCCAAGAGCCCCATCCTACTGCCATGATTGTAGTGTTACAGTGGTGCCCTGCTGGCATCCTTCCTGAGTCCTGCCAAATTCCACAGCTGCCCTAAATTTTATCTAAGAGCAGCTGAATAAAGTTTGTTAGGATGCTCAGAGACAGGAAGTCACAATCATTGCTGGTGGACATGAATAGGTGGTTCTTTTGGAGAACAGTTTAGCAGTATGGCTCAGGAGCCTTAAAAATGGTCTGCACCCTTTGACCTGGTGATCACACTGATAGTGTTCATACTAAGGCAATAACCCCAAAAGCTTTCTCCTCACAGATGCTCCTTACAGTGTTATTTGTACTAATGAAAAACGAGAAGCGCCCAAACATCCAATAACAGTGGAATAATTGTGTTAACTTGTGGTGTCTCTCTCCTACTGTTCCCACCTCCAGCTGATGAACTGTTATGTAGCCACGTAACTGGTCATTTTAAAGACTGATATAATATGAAAAAAATAGTTTTTTATATAATCCCTGGCAGATGGAGCAGGGTACAACATTGTTTACATAGTACTGTCACATCCTAAATCAGTACTTGGTACACTGTAGGCACGCAGTAAATATTTGTTGAGTGAATGATCATCACTGGCATGAATCTACTCTATAGAGAAAAAGAAATATACCAAAAGTTAATAGTGTTTGCTTTTATGTGGATGGGACTAAGAGTGATTTTTATTCTGTTGTTTCTACTTTCTTTTTTTTTTTTTTTTTTTTTGCGGTACACGGGCCTCTCTGGCTCACGGGCCCAGTTGCTCCGCGGCATGTGGGATCTTCCCGGACCAGGGCACGAACCCGTGTCCCCTGCATCAGCAGGCGGACTCTCAACCACTGCGCCACCAGGGAAGCCCTCTACTTTCATTTTTGTCCTCGTGTTTTCTGTAGTGATTACATAGGACTTATTGGAAAAAATAACTTCCATTAAGTTTTTTTGAACTTGAATCAAAGAAGAGAGGGTTAGATTGGTTACTTGCTACTGGCCAGGCACTCTGCTAAGGGCTTTACTTAAGTAATATTCCTAACTTTCCCAAAATTCCTGAAAATAAATATTATTCTCCCCAGCGTATAGATGAGAACAGTGAAGCTTATAGAGGTTAAGTTACTCAGGCTTGAATACTTACTAAGTAACTGAGCCAGGACTAAAATTCTGGTCTGACTTCAAATTCTGTTGTTTTCATAACCATATTTCTTTGTCAGCTTGATTTCTAGATGAGATTTTTTTCAGAGCCTTTTGCCACTTGTCTCAGATAGGGTCTATAGCAAAGCTGAGGTTGTAACAGCTTGTCTTTAAATTAAAAGTATGGCATTTCCAGTGTGGGTAAGGTCACTGATACCCTTGTACTCTAATTGATTTCAGAATTTGGTGATACAGCCACTTCTCTAGCAGCAAACCCAGATGCCACCACAATAAGCATCGAGGATCCTGGTGAAACCCCAAAACACCAGCCAGGACCCCCAGGAGGCTCAGGGAGAGAAGAGGATGATGAGTTACTAGGAAATGATGACTCTGACAAAACTGAGGTTTGAACTTGTCTTTTAAATTGTTTTTTTCTTTTACCTTTTTTTTTAACATCTTTATCAGAGTATAATTGCTTTACAGTGGTGTGTTAGTTTCTGCTTTATAACAAAGTGAATCAGCTATACATATACATATATCGCCATATCTCCTCGCCCTATCCCCCCGCTAGGTGGTCACAAAGCACCGAGCTGATCTCCCTGTGCTATGCAGCTGCTTCCCACTAGCTATCTATTTTACATTTGGTAGTGTATATAAGTCTATGCCACTATCTCACTTCGGCCCCCGCTTACTCTTTTAACTTTTAAAAACCTCGCTCATGCATTTATTCACTGTCTCCTTTGTGCCAGGTAGAATGCCAAGCAGTGGCGACATGAAGGTAAATCATGTAAATCAAGGTAAATCTGCCTTGGGGGAGAAACAGACAAGCAAACAGACCATTGTTACCCATGGGAAGCATGCTGGGGTTGTGAGAGCAGAGACAAGGGGGTTACAGAAGGCTTCCTGGAGGCAGTGACATTTAAACTGAATCTTGTTGAAAGAATAGTCAAACCCAGGAAGAAGGTGTGGAAGGGTGATCTGGGCAAAGGGAACAGTTTTGGTGAAGTCACAGAGGCATGAAAGAACGTGGTACCGAAAGCACATCTTCCATCTTCATGTACGTTGGGAGCAAAATATAGGTGAAGACAGGAGATGAGGCTCGCAGATAGGCAAGGACTCAACCCTCTGAGTATGAATTGTATTCTGAAAACTATTGGGAGCCATTGAAAGACTTTAAGCAATATGACCAGATACATTTAAAGGTATTTAAGATACAGTGGCCCTGTGGAGTATGAATTGGTGGGAGACGGACTAGAGGCCAGAAAACCAGGTAGGAGACTGGTGAAGTGGCCTGAACTAGAACTGGATACAGATGTTTAGCAGATGGGCTCACTAGGACTTGGTGGAAAAGGGGTGAGGAAGAGAGGGAGGATTCTATGGAGAGTTCTAGGTTTCTGCATCCAGTTGAATTTTGAATATCAGAGCTGTTTTTGATCACAAAAATTTACTTCGATGTACACTGTTGGTGCATTCCAGAAAAACAGTATTTCTAGTAATATTTTATAAATGGATCATGATCGTGATTCACTAGAGGAGTACTCAACTTATAGCAGTGTGTTCACAGGCTCATGAAATAGTGGAGTGGCAAGTGCTCTTCGTGGAACTCCATGAAATATCAAAATAAGTACCAAAGTGTATGTCAAATTAAATAGCATTGTATACTAGATATTGTGGCAAGAGCTCAGACTTAGGAGCCTGAGTTTGAATCCAGGTCTGGCCAGTAGTAATAGCTCTGTGGTCTTGGATAAGGTACTTTAATTTCCTTAAACCTGGATTTCCTCATTGGAAATATAAGAAAATAGTATACTGACTATTGCCATCATTATCATCACAAGAGCTAGTATTTATTCAGTGTTTAATAGCTGCCAGGTACCATTTAAAGTTCCTTACTTGGATCATCTCATTTAATCCTTAAAACAACCCTATATGCAAGGAACTATTCTTAGCTTCATTTTGTAAATGAGAAACTTGAGGCACAGAATTTAAGTGACTTGTTGCCCCAGGACACACAACTGGCAGGAGCAGATGGAACTTTAAACCAAGGCACTCTGAGTCCCTCTGTATTAGAGTACTGTATGTTAAGTGCTTATCAAAGTTGTTGGCACCCTCAGGATACAGGAATGATTTTTAGTATAACTGAGTGTATTAATTAGTTGCGGTTCTCCAGAGAAATAGATCAATAGGATATGTATATGTAGAGAAAGGGATTTACTTTTTTTAAAATTGGTTCACATGATTGTGGATGCTTGGTGAATCCAAAATCTGATGGAGGATGCTGGCAGGCTGGAGACTCAGGAAAGAGAATTTGAATCCAAAGGCATTGTGCTGGAGAAGCAGGAAGAGCTGATATTACAGATGTAGTCTGAGGGCATCTGCTGGAGGAGTCCCTCTTGCTCAGGGGGTCAGCCTTTGGTTCTCTTCAGGCCTTCACCTGATTGGCTGTGGTCCACCCACATTATGGAGGGCAATCTGCTTTATTCAAAAACTCCACCAATTTAAATGTAAAGCTCATCCAGAAACACCCTTACAGAAACATCCAGAACAATGTTTGATCAAATATCTGGGCATCATGGCCCAGCCAAGTTGACACATAAAATTTACCATCACACTGAACAACAGCAGCCATCAAAAGTTTAAGAAGAAATGTATAGGGGAAAAAATCTTAAAACTGAAAACACTTTATCCATTATCTTAATTTCGTCAGGGAATCGGGAAGAGGTTACCAATATTCTATGATAGTGACAGACTTTCTTGACCTAGCTTATGGAGCATGGGTCTCTGGTGTTCAGTATCTTGCAATATTAGAGTTGGAAAGAATCTACAGTTTCCTCTACAGTAAGTCCCCTACGTACGAACCTTCAAGTTGCGAACTTTCAAAGATTCGAACATGTGTCCGCATGTCCGATCATGTAGGTTCATGTGTCTGGCGTACATTGTCACATGTGTGCATCCTCTACAAGTGTTTGTGCTTTTGTGAACTTTACTGTACAGTACTGTATAGAGTACAGTATCTTTATTTCAAGCCCAGGATGTCCAGAAGCAAGTGTAAAAGCAGCGGTGATATAGCTGGTACAGTACTACCCAGACATCACTGGATCGTTTATTTAAGAGGGTCGATAGAATTGAATCCAGCAAGGAACCAGAGCCTGTGCCATCAGTGGCAGGAGTGAGTGAAATTGCACCTTGCCCTCCGTGTCCTGTTGCTGAAGATCCTTCAGCTCTACCATCTCCCACCTCCTCTCCCTCCTCCAGTCAGTAACTCTTCTTGCCTGTTCACTCAATGCCAGCCCCTGTATGCCAGCTGTTGTACTGTACTACTGTACTTTTCAAGTTACTGTACTGTAAGATTAAAAATGTTTTCTTGGGCTTCCCTGGTGACGCAGTGGTTGAGAGTCCTCTTTATGATTCATTCAGCATGTAAAATATCATCAAGTTGTTTTTGCCTGTGTGATCTTATGTCTCATTAAAAAATGTGCAGTAATTACAATACACATATAACACTCACTTTTCTGTTAAATATTTTGACATACTTATTCTACCAAAATATCAAAAGTCAACCATCATGAAAGCGCCATGAAATACTTGAGTCAATGTTTTTGTTAAAGCCAGCAAAAAAAAAAAAAAAAAAAAAGTTTTCTTTATTTTTTGTGTTTTTCATGTATTATTTGTGTGAAAAGTATTTTAAACCCATTACAGTGCAGTACTATGTAGCTGATTGTGTTCGTTGGGCACCTAGGCTAACTTTGTTGGACTTAGGAACAAATTGGATTTCCAAACGCACTCTCGGCATGGAACTTGTTCATATATAGGGGACTTACTGTATTTCAGCTTCCCTCTCAAGATATTACTGCTGTCCGTGGTATGTCAGAAAGACAGCACTTGAATACCTCTAGGAGCAGGCTGCTCATGACCATGTAAAGCAGCCCCTACCACTTTTGGAAAACTTTAATGGTGGAAAAATTTTCCTTTATAGTGAACAAAAAATATCTGCCTATAGTACCTTCCCTCGTCTTGCAAAGTTCCTTAGAGTGCATCTGTACTTTTTGCTGTATGAATCCTCTTCAGATATCTGAGGATGGCAGTCACACTTCCTGGCATGGGGCGTGCATTCCTCTGTAGAGAGCTGTGCTCTTGCTACAGGCGTGGCCCTCCTAGTGTGCCTCTTCTAAATAGGAATTTTGGTTTTTTGTTAGAGCAGTATATTTTAAGTTTTTAATTCTTTAGAGTGAGTCAGTATATCAGATTTTTGAGAATTCAGGTGGTGATAGTAGTGAGGATGTTGAGGTGGAGGAAGGGGAAAAGGTGTTTACACTGACTGCCTTCTGTAGGTACATGTTTGTGTGTGTGTATATACATATATATGTTGTTTTGCATAGTAATTAAGCTAGTCCTTCCTGTTATCCTATAAGGTAGATCTTGTTACCTGTACTTTTTAAAAAATTATTATTTTATATTTTTTTGTGTGCTACACGGGCCTCTCACTGCTGTGGCCTCTCCCGTTGCGGAGCACAGGCTCCGGATGCGCAGGCTCAGCGGCCATGGCTCACGGGCCCAGCCACTCCGTGGCATGTGGGATCCTCACGGACCGGGGCGCGAAACCCGCGTCCCCTGCATCGGCAGGCGGACTCTCAACCACTGCGCCACCAGGGAAGCCCACCTGTACTTTTTAGATAAGGAAGACTGAGATGAGTCTAGTGATTTGATGAAGCCATCCCCTAGTGAAGGGACCAGGATTTGAAACCTTTTGGTGTGTCTTCAGAACTGATGCTTTTATGTCAGGCTGAGAATTGGGCATGGCTGTGGTAAAATTGATTGATGAATGCAGAAGAGTTTTGTCTTTCGTACATCTTGATTTTCCATTAGACCCTCTCTATTTCTCTTTCTCTGGGTAGCTAGAATAAGGAAATTGCTTCTGTGTTCATTACGTATTTAATTTTACCTCTGACAGTTACTTGCTGGACAGAAGAAAAGCTCCCCCTTCTGGACATTTGAATACTATCAAACATTCTTTGATGTAGACACTTACCAGGTTTGTAAACCAGATTTACCTTTCTTTTGTCGTATAATGCAGACTTGTTTCTTCTGTGGTTAAACAATCGAGTAATGTGAAAGGTTTTGTATACTGGATATGGTCTTCAAAAGTAAAAGGTCAGTTAGCATTTGAGAATACTAAATGAAATAATAAAAAGATACTAAATAAATAATAAAAGCTCTAATCACTGAGTTTCAATTTTGCAGTGCAAAGTTATTAAACTTTAAGAAAAAAAATCTTCATTAGACTTAACTGCTGTGCTGTTTTGCAGGTCTTTGACAGAATAAAGGGGTCTCTTTTGCCAATACCAGGAAAAAACTTTGTGAGGTTGTATATCCGCAGCAACCCAGATCTCTATGGTATGTGTAGTGCCGTTTTGATTCTTTTCCATGTCCCAGCTAAGCTCAGGTGAGTGTGCGGGTTGCCTGGAAAGTCGGAGAAGCGCACTGTTGGTGGGGCATGTGGTGTTTTATTTGACTCTTCTGAGCTTTGGTAGCAACTGTTGCAAAGAATTTGGAGAAAATGCAGTTGTATGTTCTATTAATGCGCTGATGACAAGTAATAGTATGTCCTTTGAAAGTCTTCACATGACATTACAAATTCAAGACAAATTAAGTCACTTGTGTAAGAGGAGATTGTTGATTTTAATTTTAGAGGATTTCGTGGTGGGGGTGAGTGTGGAGGAGCTTCTCTCATGCTTATTCATGATGTGCTGAGTTCCAGCTCTGCACAGGCTGGCTTCCCCTTGAAAGTCTGTAAGAGGATGGGCCAGGGGATAATGTCATTGCGACCTCCCTGCTATCCGAGAAGGGATCAGAGGTCCATCCAGTGATCCTGAAGGAAAGGGTTCCAACAACGGTGGCCTGTGTTTGAGGGGAGAAGAGAGCCAGCGGCTCTGAGTGCTTCTGTTTGCAGGTGCTGTACGAAAGACTTGGTGCACACGGGCACACTTAATTCTTGCATCAACCTTTGGGTAGGTATTATTATCCCCGTTTTTCAAAAGAGGAAGCTGGTGCTCAGTGGGGTTCAGTAATATATATGCTCAATCCTAAACATTAAGTTTTAGAGTGATTATACTTGTTGATTATAAGAGGAAAAGGAATTCAGGAGAATCTATTGTGTGCCAGTCACTACATACACTCTTTAAGCCTTTTCAACAAGGCTATGTATTAAGTACTCTCATCCCTGTTTTCCATGTGAGAAAATTAAAACTGGGATTTGAAACATCATGGATGAACTTGGAGGGTGTTAATGCTTAGTGAGATATGTCAGACAGAGAAAGACAAATGCTATATGGTGTCACTTATATGTGGAATCTAAACACTAAAACAAACTAGTGAATCTAACAAAAAAGATACAGACTCACAGATACAGAGAACAAATAGTAGTCACCAGTGGGCAGAGGGAAGGGAGGAGGGTCAAGGTAAGGGCTAGGGGATTAAGAGGTACAAACTAGTTAAGTATAAAATAAATAAGCTATAAGGATATACTATGCAGCACAGAGAATATAGCAAATATTTTATAATAACTATAAATGGAATGTAACCTTTAAAAATTGTGACTCACTGTGTTGTACACTTGAAACTTACGTAATATTGTAAATCAACTATACATCAGTTAAAAAGTAAAAGTAGGGAATTCCCTGGTGGTCCAGTGGTTAGGACTCTGAGCTTCCACTGCAGGGACCACGGGTTCAGTTCCTGGAACTAAGATCCCGCAAGTCGCACAGCATGGCACACCCCCCCTCCCAAAAAAAGAACTAACTCCTAGTATAGTTTTATGTAAAAGCCCCCATTTATTCTATTAGACTGGTGTTTTTAAGCTACAGAACCTTTTCATCAAATGGCACGGATGACCAATATTTAAAACCAGTCAAAGTGGAGCAGCTCTGATGGAGGTTGAGGAAAGTCTCCCTTCCACTCAGCTTCCTCCCTCAGGGACAGACACAGAAGTTCCATCCAGATGTCCATGGAATTCCTGGAGCTCCGGTAAGCATAGTGTGAAAAACATTGCCTTGGCCCAGGCCTCTTAGCTAAAGGTTGCCAAGGTGGCATTTCTTTCTAGCTCTCATTCATCCTTACTTCTAGCCTGAGAACTTCTTGAGAAGCAGACTCTGTGTCTGAGGAATCCACGTCGTCAGCACCTGGCAGAGGGCTTGGTGCAGAGTAGGTATTCAAACAGTTTTTGAGCACCTTATTTTGTGCTAGAGACTGAGGATTCAAAGATAAAGTCATGATCTCCATCCCCAGTGAGAAAGAAGAGAGGGACCCAGCGTTTGTTGAGCACGTAACAGGTGCCAAGCATGGACTTCAGCACTGTTTTACTGTGTTACACTGTTTTATTTCCCACGCTCCAAGGTAGCCTTATCTTACAAAAGAGAAAAATTGAGGTTTGGGGAGGACAGCCTGCCCATAGTCACAGAGTTAGCAACAACAACAACAACAACAATAATAATAGCAAACACACATAGAATGCTTGATATATGCCAGACACTGTTATTAGGGAACAACCTGTATTAACTCATGTAATCCTCATAATAACCCCAACTTTATGAGGTAGGTACTATTATTATCCCCATTGTATAGATGAGGACACTGTGTCGCATAGAAGTCTAGCAACTGGCCTAAGATCACGCAGCTAGTAAGTGGCGGAGGATTCAAATCAGCACTGTAGCTCATAATCCATATTCTTCGGCACTGTGTTTGGCTGTCTCTCGTGTCAAGGCCAGGATACGAACCCAAAGCATCCTTCTTCCCACAACACTACTAATCTCACGAGCCCATAGACATTGTTAGAACAAGAAGGTGCAGGGCTTCCCTGGTGGCGCAGTGGTTGAGAGTCCGCCTGCCGATGCAGGGGACACGGGTTCGTGCCCCGGTCCGGGAAGATCCCACGTGCCGCGGAGCGGCTGGGCACGTGAGCTATGGCCGCTGACCCTGCGCGTCCCGGAGCCTGTGCTCCGCAACGGGAGAGGCCACAGCAGTGAGAGGCCCGCGTACTGCAAAAAAAAAAAAAAAGAAGAAGAAGGTACAATGTGGGTAAAGTGTTTTCTAGCAGAGAGGGCTAGGCCTCGTGGGGTGGGTTGGAGGAAAGTGGTCAGGAACAAGATGAAAGAAGAGCCAGTCTGCAGAATCTGAGGGAAAGACTGATGAATTTGACTACATTTAAACTAAAATTTAAAATTTTCTGGGCTTCCCTGGTAGTGCAGTGGTTAAGAATCTGCCTGCCGATGCAAGGGACACGGGTCCGAGCCCTGGCCCGGGAAGATCCCACATGCTGCGGAGCAGCTAAGCCCGTGCGCCACAGCTACTGAGCCTGACCTCTAGAGCCCGCAAGCCACAACTACTGAGGCCACCTGCCACAACTACTGAAGCCTGCACGCCTAGAGCCCGTGCTCCGCAACAGGAGAAGCCACCGCAATGAGAAGCCCGCACACCACATTGAAGAGTAGCCCCCGCTCACCGCAACTAGAGAAAGCCCACGCACAGCAACGAAGATCTAACACAGCCAAAAAAATAAATTAAAATTTCTACACCACAAAATAAACCATAAGCAAGGTAAAAAATAACTAAATAAACCACAGACCAGAGATAATATTTCAATGCACATAACCCACAAAGGATGCAAAGCAGGTGTACATGTAGGATGCCTACCGGTTATGAGAATAAAACCAAGTATAAGTTCTGGGGGAAAATGAGCAATTCACAGAAAAGGAAACCCAAATGGCCAATAAATATAGGAAAAGATAGGTATCCCTACCTGAAATAAAAATTTAAACGGGCTTGCCTGGTGGCGCAGTGGTTGAGAGTCCGCCTGCCGATGCAGGGGACGCTGGTTCGTGCCCTAGTCCAGGAAGATCCCACATGCCGCGGAGCGGCTGGGGCCCCGGGGCCCGGCCGCCCGGCCCGCGGGTGCCC